TGTATTTTATAGAAAATATTAACAATTATCTTAATTTTATTTATATTATTATTATACTTTCATAAATATTTTTACAAAAATTATTAAATTAATGGGAATTACAAGGCACAACAGAAATTACCAAAAGTAGTGAAAGAATGTAAGTATTTTATATTGCATAACTAAACCCATAAATTTTCAGAAATTATTTTTCATACAATTAATATCATAAAAATATTATTTTGTTACTAATAAATTAGAATTTATGGTGTTACTAATTAAAATTTATTTAATGAATTTTCAGTGTAATTCTAAATATAATTTTTATATATTTTAAAACTTGTGTAAAGATTGTATTTTATGAATTTTTTTTTTCATATACAGATTAGAAGAATAATTTAATTTCTTTAACGAATAATATAAATTTTTATTATCTAAAATTATGACTATAAAGTTTAGACAAATATTATAATACATACTGTTAGGTAAATTACTTACATAAACAAAAGTAACATTGTATGTTATGAAATTAATACAAATTCTTATTAAAAGATGTTAATGAAATATGAAAATTATAGAATAGAACATGATTAGTAAATGTAAAATGGAGTACTTCTTTTTAGCTTAACATTAGTTGATAAAATATAAAAAAATATCTGTATTTAACGTTATTATTATAATTATTGTATAACTTTTAACATCAATCAGATATAAATATGAAGAAAGAAACATAGATTTGTTGGTCGAAAACATCCAAAAAGGTCATTGTATTAATTTATTAGAAATGTCTTTAGTAATTTATAGTACTATAATTAAAATTTGAAATACATAATACTTATTTGATGAAAGATATATATTGTAATAAAAATAATATTTATGTTTATCTAAATATCTACCTTTCTATATTAATTATAGCATTTAATTTTTATGTAAATTTTAAAACTATTATATATATTTCAATTGTAAAATTATTTACATTTTATGAAGCTGAAGTTCGATTTATAGTGATAAATTCAATAGAATATTGGATGTTTGATATGTATTAATAAAGTATATTAATGTTATATTAGATATTAGATATTAAATGTTACGAAATATTAAAATTTGTCTTTTTAAAAATATGTAAATTATTAAAATAAAGTATTACTTATATAATTACTTTTAATATTAATTTCTTATATAATATCAATATATTAAAAGACTTTATTAACATACTTTAACTTATCTTATATGTTATATAACTTCATTATAACTGTTTATTTATTAATGTCATTTTAATTATCACATAGAGTAGAGGGAAGCACAAGAATAAAAGAATCATCGCGATAAGGATTACCAGTTTGTATCAAACGTTTCACGGATTGCCTTCAACTCATACATTTAACTGTATACAGTAATACATTATACTTTTAAGTAGTTCATATTCAAATTATTTTACTAATATTATCATTTACAAGTGATAACAATTATAAATATAATTTATAATATTGTGTAGGTTATTGAACTACACAAAATTGCAGAAAGTAATACAAATTATAACTATATCATTTTTCATTATTTGTCAAAAGCATTTAAATAAAATGGTAAAATCAAGAAGATATGTAGTCGTAAAACATTTTGAAAAAGATCCAAAACCAACAGATCTACAATTGGTTGAAGAAGAATTACCTTCTCTTCAGAATGGAGGTAAAAATTTAATAGTATAATTATATATTGACTATGTAAATATGTTAAGCATTAAGTGATCTACTATCGATCACGTCAGTACTGCGTCGTTATCATGGCCCGATATTTTTCAGAATAAAGAAACCTACTTATTTCTGTTGTTTTTCATATTATGCAAGTAGTTGAATATTAAATATCATATCAGTACCACAATATGTAACAATCACAATATTATTAAATGAAACAATTATAATATTGTTAATATTCTTCATAGACATTATTCATTATCATGTTATTGTATGACTTTGCATTTAAATGTTATATTTGATGATTAAATATTTTTAATACTATGAAATTACAATGTATTGGTAAATAATACAGAATATTAATAAATATTAATTATATATCAAATGATTATAAATATAAATTTATTCTATTAAAAAAAAAAGATAATATTATTTAGTGAATAATATAATATTTTAGAAGGTTTTATAGTATGTATAATTTGATATGTTTTAGAGTATCTTGTTCAAGCAGAATATATTTCTGTGGATCCCTATATGCGAGTTTACATTCAACGGTATCCACTTGGTGTAACAATGATTGGTACACAAGTAGCCAAAATTATTGAGTCAAAAAATCCAGATTATCCAGTTGGAAAAAGAATTGTTGGCAATCTTGGATGGAGAACACATACAATTGTAAATCCACAGCATTCTGAATTTGAGTTCTTAAATCAAAGACCAAAGATAGTACCTGATATTGGAAATTTTCCATTATCATTACATTTAGGAGTTTTAGGAATGCCTGGGTAAGAATTATTTGAAACATTTTATAATCTAATGTATTTCATATAACCCCTTTCATAAACATTATAAATATTGTACTTTATATTTGTTTTAAATAATTTATTTAAAAAATTTAACATTTGTTGTTTTAGAAATACAGCATATTTTGGTCTTCTTGAAATTTGCAAACCAAAACCAGGTGAAACTCTTGTTGTAAGTGGCGCTGCTGGAGCAGTTGGTTCACACGTTGGTCAAATAGGAAAAAATATTCTTGGGCTTAATGTCATTGGTATTGCTGGTTCAGATGAAAAGTGTAAATGGCTTGTAGAAGAACTTGGCTTTAATCATGCTATTAATTACAAGAAAGGAGATATTAAAGCTGCTTTATGTAAAGCTGCACCAAAAGGAATTGATTGCTACTTTGATAATGTATATTTCTATATCATACTGAAATAATATTTGAATTTTACTATTACATAGTTAGATAGAATATTTATTGCTTATTATTCCAACAGGTAGGAGGAGACATTTCCTCTTTAGTTATGTATCAAATGAAACCTTTTGGTCGCATTGCAGTATGTGGATCTATTTCCTCATATAGTGCAGATTCTTCATCGCTACCAAAATCGGTAATTCTTCAACCGACGTTTATATTTAATCAGTTAAAAATGGAAGGTTTCATAGTGACTCGTTGGGATGACCGTTGGTTAGAAGCTATACAAAAAAATCTCGAATGGATACGTGCAGGAAAGCTTCGTTATCGTGAGACCGTTACAAGCGGTTTTGAAAATATGTTTGATGCATTTGTTGGTATGTTACAGGGAAAGAACATTGGTAAAGCTATTGTTCAAATTTAAAGATATAATATTGTAATTTGTTTAAACACATTTCTATGTCTATAAATACATATATTTTTCTATTATAGTCTAATAAATTTAATGATATTCTATTTTTGTGAATTCTATAAGATTGTATTTCTATGCATTTTCAATAGCGTGTAGTTTATAAACGAGAAAACATATGAAGTAATTAGCATAGACAGTTTTATTGCAATATATTACACAGATCATAATGCATCACAATGAATAATTACATTTGGTTTTTTTGATGCCCGAAAGCATGATCCTTAAACCTTAGGTACATATCTTAATAATTGTCACGTTACGTCTAGTACAACCTTATACGATACCTTACAGAAAATCACGCAAACTTACATCCATTTCTACTTACAATATAATACATTTCTCGGTTTAGTGGAAATTCCATTATACCGAAGCTTTCGCGAGAAATACAAATTTACACAGAAATTTGAATACTGTAAACAGAAATATATATTCGAATTCAATTTACATGTTATTGCATGAAATAGTTCTTGTTATAAAAATTAAATTCTATCATTACATTATCGAAATATCGGTCTGTTATAAAATAAAAAATTGCTTGAAAAATATTTTCAATATTTAAAATAATAATACTTCTTATATATATATAACTTAATTCTTTCTTATGAGAAGAAAATAACTGTATCTTTAAATTTTTTTTATAGATTTAATTTATGTATGCTATAAGATCCACTTTTTCGAATTAAACACGGTATGATGGAACATGTATACAACGACTGTCGCAAAAACTTATTGATATTTAATTTTACGATTGTTCACTCATTGATTCATGACTTTTATTGTACAGTTTCCTAGAAATCATTGTAACTTGATAATTTCGATGAATCGATAAAATCGAGATATAAATCCATGGAAAGTAATTTTTAATAAACAATATACGATATATATAAAAAATTAATTTTAATTATTTAGCTAATTCGAAAATTAACACAAATACCATTTAATCAACATACTTTTGTTTATATTTAAACTAAGGTAAAAATGATATTTTTAATTTTAAAGTTTTTTAAAGTTTAAATCATTTATTTTTTAAAAATTATTTAATCATATTTTGTTATGATTTTCATTGTACCGCATATTTTAAGTTGTTTTACATCGTCCAGTAATTGGAAGATGGTGTGATAGATTGCGAAAAGTGAAATTACATCTACATAAAGATGAGTTTCACCACTAAAAAAGGTAATATCGTTGCAATTGCTAAATACAAACATTGTGTCACAGTCGAAAGATCGGGAATCATTTGAAAGCTCTAGATATCAGGATATGCACAGGAGAATCTATCCAGTTTCACAATAGTTGCACCAGAACTATTTTACGGGACTCATATTCAATATTATTTCGATCGATCAAGGTCACTTTTTTAACCACAGATTATACCAAATATAATTCAAATTTTTTTTATAATGTTTCACGTATTTCTTTTTATATATTTATTGGCATATCAAATATTCACAGTTATTCTGCCATTTTAATTACAAGTTTTTTATCTTTTCTGAAATACCAAATAATTATATATCATAGTGTCATGACCTCGCTTGATTAACATTTTTAAGTTTAATTATAACCTTAGGTCAAACTTTATAGAAATCTCCTGCAAATCCCAAATCTATAATGAACCATCATTATTCCAACGAACAGACACATTTTGATTACAATGTAGGCGGGAATGAAATTTCGTTTGAATTTCATCGGATGATTTTTCCATCCGCTTCCGTTTGCCGCCTGCTAATTGTTCCTTATGAATCCTGAGTCGTGAGCCAGGGCTGCGTTCCATCAAACGAACACGTTCTCATCAGGATTTTTGCTAGAATTTCATCACGTGACATTGATCTCTTCATCTTCTTCATTCTCTGTTTGTTCTTCTGGTCGTTGAGGACTCGTCAAAGGACTCACATCGCTCAAGTCCATCCTCGGTTTGTCACCATCAGCATCGCTTAAATCAGGATTCGGATTGTTCTTGTTCGGTAATGTTTGCTCACGAGAACCACCGGTTGCTAATAGTTCCCTCTCTTTACTATTTCTCCACTTCATTCGTCGATTTTGAAACCAAATTTTTACCTGTAAGCAATAATTCGAAATATGTTCACCTTGGATAATAATATAATCTGAGTAGTGATATAACATTTGAATGACAGAAAATGTGATTGATGATTGATCGAATAGTATTGAATCAGTAGAGATAATTTTAGTAAACTGTATAATTATTTTAAAATTACATTAATGGAAAGGTTATCCATAATTAATTTAATAAATATATTCAATACATTTTTTTATGAAATAGAAAGGAATTTATTTCAATTGTATCGAAGTTTTAATACTCGCTATCCCTCGATATTCAACGAGCACTAAATAAAAATTAGACTGAAAAATGAAATATTTCCTATTCTGTTAATCTAAATACTACATTTATTTAAAATGACTCCCCAAAACCATTTAAATTCGTAAACAATCATCGAGCCATCACATATGTATATGTATATACTAACACTTCTTTCTACTTTTATAAACGTTCACGCGTTAACCTTTGAAATGAGTATCAAAAGAGGGCGCGGCGTCATTTTCATATATTAAAGACCTTGTATTACTGAACCGTTGAACAGACCAACGTCAAACGCACATGAACTCTGAAAATTTTCCGCACCCTTACCCTTCCCATCCCTTTTCCAGCCAGCTTTACCTCTCCTTCGCGCCACCCTTCATTTCTCCAGCCTGTTCCTGTTCGCCACTTTATTATAGCCTTAAGCCACGTCGAAGCGTTGACCCCGGACCGCGGATTGATTTACCTAAACTGCTTTTCGAATTTTCATTGGTCGGCACCCTGTGTATAGGTGTTTCTGAGTTTGGTATGTGGATGCATTTGACACTTTGCCGGACCTTGAAGGTTCTCTTCGATTTGCCTTTAGGGCTTGCCAACAAGGCGTTGAACCGTGTATAAAATCGACTCCACAACTTTCATCTCTCCTCCTTCTCGAAGAGATTGTGTACAGAAATTTTCGTTTCAATTTTCCAGTATGTTTTGATAGTTGGATTTGATTGAAATTTTGATTTTGTGAGATATATATCTCATGTAAAGTAAATGAAATGATGTTGGAACGACTATTAACTTTAGACGTCATTCGAGATTACGCTGTTAAAAGTGGAAGAAAAATCACTAAGTCATTAAAAGCTACCGAACGATTTATGAAGAAGATTTAAGCAGATTTCTCAGAATCGTTAAAAAAATTAAAAAATTATACATGTATATGACGATGATTTAAAGAATATATAATCATTCGAGGTTATTCGAAATCTAAATACTAAAAATAGTACAAACGTATGTAGATATATTCAAAAGTATTGTAAACATTTTTTTGTGAGGCATGCATAATGATGAATTAGCTTCTAAACCAAGTTTCAACGATATTTTAAAATTAAAACAATACAAATTTTGAAAGGTACGCAAATTAATTTTATAATTAATTTTATCGTAGCGATTTCATTGTACTGATTATGAAAACTCGTTGTCGTCAACATTCCCGTAATTTATAATCGTTATTTCACATGATACTATACTACGTATGACTTTACACGGTATTAACAACTTTCGAAATCTGTTCAACAACGTTATCTGCGCGTGACATCCACTGCGTTATTATTAATACTGCTTGGCCCCGGAGCTAGGGAGGAAGGGAGGGCGAGAAATTGATAAAAAAGTTTATTATTCTTTAATATCTCGTCGAACATTTTATGGAACTTCGTTCACGAACGTGTTGCGTGCACCTGACATGTTGAAATGCGAACGAACTTGATGCGTCAATACGCCTTTCTTGTTATTTTTTGTTTTTTCAACATTTTTTTCAATAGTCTTTTTTTTTCATAGTTGAAACGCAGGTGAAGTTTATACTAATAGTAGATTTTATGTTGGTAACGAGCTCATTCCGATAGTTTCGCCTGTGCTTGCAATCGATCACTTCTAGATTGGATATCAATCACGTGTATACTCACAGGCAAGGACGTTATTCTAGGGATTTTTGTGCAAGAATTTTATATAGATGCAGTAACTGCAACGTAACCTATACTTTGGTAAGTATTGACAAAATAAAAACAATAGGTTCTTTCAACTTGAGAATAGAAGCTAATTAATCTATTGTTGCAGGTTACTATTTGAAGAAATTTATTATTAAACAAAAAATAGGATAATCGAAGTAATCAAATGTGAAGTTGAGATTATATAAAACGTAGAAGATAAAAAGAATTTGACGGAAACACGAGGTAGAGGTGACAGATTAAACGTATATATACAGTGTAGGCGGGAAAATTACATGGATCTGCTAGAGATTAATTTACCCAAATTGTTTTCGTATTTTCATTTGTTGAGGTGTGTGCGTTTGACACGATGGAGAACCCTAACGATTCGACACGTTAATACGCTCTTTCGTAGTAGGGTAAACCAGCGTTGTATTCGCAATACGGCAGCTGACCCATCTTTGTTGTAAAAATGCCATTGCACGATCCCTATGTAATTGCACTCTCGACGCGGTTTGTCAACAGGAAAAATGTGATTTACAGAATACTTGGTGGATAATTTGAAGGTAACAAATTTTTATTTCGTTCACTGACAGTGACGTTTCGATACGATGTATAAAAATTTTGTTTAAAAATTTCGCTTTCACGTAGTTCCATTTTCAGCTCGATTAATTAAATGATTTATAATTGATACTTCGTTGTCCATTTAAATTAAATCTTCGTCCATATTCAGAAAATATACACGTTGATGGAATTGCCTTTTTTTTCGCAGGGAAGTGTAAATCCGGGAAATCGGACAAGCGGATAAAATAAACGCTCGAGTGTTCAGCCGTTTAAAAGGCAAAAATCCCTCGAAATCCGATGCTTCTGGCGAACGAAAGAGATTAGAGGAGGGTTAATATCAAGCTCAAGACGTTGCTCGCTTAGGGGTGAACACTCCATCCGAGGATGCTCGAAAATCAAAACCGGAGGGGATCGTTTCGGCGTATGTATATATATACATACATACATATAAAAGAAACTCATTCGAACATTTCAAATTCTAAACACACTACTTCATCTTGTAATAAACGATATTTGAAACATTTTCCGGTTTGTTTTAATTTTTATCTACTACTATTTAGTTTTATAACGAGTTTTAAATCGATCGAAAAAAATTATATCGAATATTTTTAGGAAAGATCGTGAAGAAAACAGAATACTTATCCCGCATTAATTGCGTGTATATGATATCAGAACGAAGAGGAAACGATCGAGATTTGTGCGAGTTTCAGCGACCGGAAATTGTGGAATGCATTCCAGGGAAATCAAGGGATTTGTACTTCCGCACTCCCCTTCCAGCGATCCTTCTTCTTCTTTTCGTTTTACGTTTTGCAAGTGGCGACGGTGATTGATTGTCCCGTCAGCGGCAGACAGGTTCGGGAACTGTATAACAAAAGTAACAAAGCGGTTCTCCGTTCGGTGTGAAAGACGCGAGGCTTTTCGGAAAGGTTGAATCATTTCGTTGTTCACGCTTTTCATTTGTTGTATCCACGTATCGCGCTACGCCCTAGCTTTTGATCATTTTTATAAATCCCGCTCTACCGGAGATAATTATCCTGCCCTATCTCGATAACTTTGACAATCGGTGTATCCAATTTTAATGATTGTCGTTACTATTAATGCTCGTAATTGTTATTTCAATAACAAAACTGCGATAATTCAAATCATAATCAATGATCATTGAAATAGCCACGTTCGATGCGATAATTACACCAATCGCTTGACCAACCGCGTTTCAGTTCACCCTCGCCATTCTCTCTCCGAACCGCGTTTGATCGTTAACTTATTGGCTGTAGCCACACACTCATGCGTTCCTTTCATTCATCCCTCTAAATCCTTAACCATCCCCGTCTCGATTAAACATGTCGATAGCACGAGCCAAGGAAGCAACGCGATCCGTGGTGCCAAGATCGCCATAAAGTTTCTCCCCGGTTTCTCCTTCTCCTCCATTAAATCATATCCGCGGTCCGAGACCGTCGCGAGAATCTATAAGGAGAATAACTCTAGCCTGGGGATCGCTATTAAAAAAGAAGCCGGAAATGTTTCACACGGGCCGCGCTAAGGATCAGCTCGTACGAAAGGATCGGGCATAACGGCGACATCCGAAACGCGTTCTATAGAGTGGGTAATCGTTAAACGATTGGCTGCAGTCAGCCTGCCGGTCTCTCCTTTCGCCAACCACCCTCTAACTCGTTCCCTCCGCCGTTGCCTGAAAGTTCTCCTCTGTTCGACTCCCTTCCTTGCGCCCACGCGACCGCCCTTACTTCCGCCTCTGCCCACCCCAAGCTTTTGCCCCCACCTCCAGGACCATGGCCACCCCCTAGTTCTGGCACCCTCTTTATCTCCCTACGATTCACCCCCCTCTGTCCTGCGTATATACGCACATCTATATCTATATGCATATATATATACACACATATATGTATGTGTATACCTATGTATCTCTATGTATGTATGTATGTATCTGTATATATGTATATACATATATATTATATTATGTATGTAAGTGGCTATGTGTGTGTGTGTGTGTGTGAACGCGCGCGTGTGGTGTGTGTATATATACATATATATACAGGGTACGAAAGGTAGTTCCGTACGTGGTGGTGGCGCCATCTGGCGCAGTTTAATAAAAGACGATCGATTATGACGTCGGCCTCAGAACTACCCCTCAGTCTCGCTCGCTCCACGATCCTCTTGCTCGCCACCCTGTCTTCCTCCTATCCGCCCCTCTTTTCTTCCCCTCTTTCTCGATACTCCTTCTGTGTATAATCTCTTCTCCCCTCGTCACTCTGTCCTCCTCTATCTATACCCCTCTCGATAGCCTCACCCTGTGCATCGTTCTTTCCTTCTCGTTCTTCTTCTTCGTTCTCCTTTCGACTCACAGCCCCGATCGCCTTCCTCCTTCTTTCTCTCTTTCTCTCTCTTTCTCTCTCTCCCTCTCTCTCGCTCTTCATTGGAGGGTAGCAGGTTCTCTCTCTCTAATCGCGTGCACCAGAGGGAGAGTGCACCACTCCCTCCAACTTGGTCGCGCTTCCAGGTCGTTTCGCGGCGGTGGGGCGAGAAGATCGAAGGGCACAGAGGCGGAGAAAAGGGGCGAGAAGCGGGCACGAACAGGGTGCCGGACGAGACTCCTCTTTTTTTCGGGGGTAGGGGGTCGGTGCGGTCAGCGGAGGGACGAGTGGGTGAAACGTAGAAAAAAGGAGAAAAAGAGGAGGAAGAGGTACGGCACAAAGCTGCCGGGGCGCGATTCTGCGGCCGAAGGGTTGGCTGATGTATGGAAAGGAAGTCGGCACTTAATGGAGGGGAGGGAATCGGCCCTCCGGATTTATCGGCGGACCACGTTCCATCGGTGATGCTTTAATTGAGCTCGCCACCCGCTGATAAACGATAGTGTTAATTCGTTTATCCTTGAATCTATGCCTCGTTTAATTAGTCCTTTTTCTTCGCGCGCGCAATCATAATAATAATTCTTAGGAAACGTGGCGATTAAACAATTAGACGTCATAGGTTTTTAACCCTCTCGCTGCGGCTGTGTAATAAAGCGCGTTGTACTTTTATTCCCTTACATGTGTATTTTTTTAAATATTTTTCAACATATTTGTCGTGAGCTACGAAGGTTATAAAAATGAGACGAAACAATATTCTTTCATCTTTCTTTTTCGGTATTATTAATTGCGTAACTTTTTGAAAGAAAACTGTATAAATATCCCGTGGTATTATTCGCCATTTAATAGATGATTACGTTAATGAAAGAAGGTAAATCTCTCATTTTCTATATACAAGATAATTTAATTATCGGTGAGATGGAGAGTCTTTCTATTTATATTGGGAGGTTGCCAGATTTTATGGACATGATCTGGCAATTTTCATGGAAAGGGGTTGCAAAAGGGAACGTATCTGGGAATCAATGTCGACCGTGGCGGCTTTTACTTGGGGCACGAGCTGCGAATTTGGAATTCGTCTGCGTGCCAATGGTATAACGCGTTACAGCTGTGAGTGGCTACAACCTGGCACGAATGGGAAGTGATATTTCCGGGCGAAATGTCGTGCCAGCGATACCAAACGCATTCAATCGTGACATGTGAAGATGTTTGAAGCCCGATTTAAAGGATATGTGACAGGGAGGATCAAACGATCGACCTGATATTTTGCAGATACTTTTAACGCGATGGAAGCAGTTCGCAGAATACTACACTATTCTACTTACTCTAGAATCTCGATCGATTACCAAGGTATCTCTGTATCGGTCAGGAGACTAATAAGGTACTAAAACAGCGTGTCAACATTTTCGTTAATTTTTTTATCCTTATATGGATGAATTTTTTTATACTTTAACATCAAAGAACAATCAAAGGCGATCGAATTATTCCATAGGAATTATTATATAAGAACCAACGGTATCAAGAAGGAACGGTGAGAAGCGAGAGAGTCTATCGAAATTCTGTTCGATCTTCGGCTTATCGGTCGCGAGGCGGACATCGTGGCTCGGTGGAAAGTGATTAAAGTTGATTCACAAAAGGATGAATCTATATGCATACCGGGGTATTGTATATTCATGGTTTCTTAGTTCGTCTGGCGTCGGGGTAGCGGCGCTTTCTCAAAGTAAAATCCATAATGCATGAAGGTCCGCGGGCTAAGCCGAACAGCTTAAGCTGTAAGATATTGCACGACGTTATATTCATGTTATGCCCTGTAAGAGGCGGCCTTTGTTTTTAATATCCAACGCAGATTGTACCGCTGCAAGTTTAGGGTAACGTTATGACCAACTTCCGCTGTGTCTCGCTCAACTTTCATCCCATCCGGAAACGCGCGAGGAAAAGATCAACCACGTTTCGCAAAATATGAGAAAGTGGAACAGAGAGAATCTCGTTTAATGGTCCATTGCGATTTCTGAATCTGTCACATGCCGATACCCTGATTAAACACTTACTCTCTTCGGAATCATCATCAACGTTCTCAAAACTGAAAGGTGATTTAAAGAATCTCGTATCAAATATGTTCTGATAGATAGCTGGCGTGATTTAATTTTATAAAGTAACGAAACGAATTAGATAGCTACGTAGAATGTTCTTCATCGATTGGGGAAGCGCAGAGACAAACGACCGAGATCGTGTAACGTTTTCTGATCGGGGTAGAAGATTGACTACTGGGTAAATAGTAGGATGGTCCTCCAACAGAGAACAGTGACCGATTGTTCTAGGGAAAGGTTGTTCAAAGTAAACTCGATCCAGAGGCTGTCCTAATGGCTACAAATTGATTTGACCGACGGAATCCGGGAAACTCTATATTCGGCTGAAATGCAAGCCTAATGGTCGATCTATCTAACGTGTCAGTGTCAGTTTCATGGGAAAGAGCAAGCTGCCTCCCTTTTGCTCGTGGATCCCGTCGAGTATCGAGACGTAAGCATACTTATGCAAGAACTAATTCATTTTTAACCCTTAAAAGCTCTCCTAGCAAAGTTTCATGCCATGAGAATTTAATTTTAATCTTATTAAATAAAATGTGTCGGTAATACTAATTTTATGAGCATTTATCGACGTTCTTAGGACGTGTCGAATAAAAGCGCTAAATATCGTGAAGCGCAATGAATACATTTGAGAAAAATACTTTGGTAATTTACTCTTTCCTTCCAGCCTTCGGATACCTATGTATCCCTATAATCTTGTTTCGAAATATCATACCACGAGCCAGCTCGAATATAATCTTTACAAAAATAAGGAGATCCGTGACGAGCAATTCGAGAAAGTAGAACAATATCGACAAGGGACTATCGTTTTTAATCAAATTTAAAATGGAAGGCTAAAGGCACGGAAGGAGGAACTTCTTTCCGTGAAGACTAAATAGGCTGTCAGCAGCACCGAATGCGAGCCATTCTTCGCGCGACCTTTATAATTCGCTAAATCTTCAAGACGTCTCGATCATCGGAGTAGTAGCCCTCTCATTTTGGAGATAAAGAAATGGAAAAGATCGAAGAACGGAGGGTGCGTTTTAATTTAGCAC